GTAGTTTTTTAAGAATAAAATTTACATATTCGTACACACACTATATATATAATTATAAATTACTTACAACTTTTTTAGATAAAAATATTTATAATATGCTAATAAAACAATGTTCAAAGGAAAACTATTTGATATTGCCCAAATAGTAATAATCACAGTGGCGGATCCAGAGTAAAAGTATGGGTTCACGGGGACTAGTAGATTTTGTGCAGACCTTGTATATGTAGTAAAAAATTCACTAAATATCTGTAAATATTTGACTGTAAACTCAGTTATTATTGTATATTAGTTTAAGGTCGATTTAGAAAATCATAAATTTTAGATCTTGAATCCATCTTCGAGTAATCACTCCTTTTTTTTTTTGGTGTGACATATGAAGTGGAGTAGAACTTGATTTAATGCATTCTAGAGCGACATCTTATGTATAATCGACTACATGAAAATGTATGAGTTTTCTATTAATGTTCAAAATTGAATATCTTTGTGATAATCAAGTGTTGTAAGATAATGCTTTCAAATATCTTTCTTCGTTAGCTAAGGGTGTATTTCCAATTCTAAAGTTATATGGTCCTACTGGAGATGATATAACAGACTCTTATAAATGAAGTAAGATGTAAAACAACAATCGTAATAAGTAACAAAAGTTGAAAACTTTTAGATCTAAAGATGTTCATAAATATTAAGCTATAGTCGGAGATTGACACTTAAACTTTTGGAAAGTGAACTAAGCGAAAGAAGACATTCATTTGGGAATAAATTCACTTCAGGAAAACCCATTTAAATAGAACATTTCTACAATCAAAAGACCAATTATCAAACAGCTTTTTTCGTGGCTTTTTAGGTGCTTGAAAAAAATAAAACTGTACTAATAGTAGCAAAAGACGTAGCAATAAGAAAATTGGAGATGTAGACGGAATAATCCAGTTTGGCATCTCAAGTTTTATTTGCTAGCATTTTCTTTTGGTAAACCATATGGAACTTTATTCTTATAATTTTCATTTTATAGTGGATGATGAAAGCAATGAGCTAATTCTCTTATTTACTACGTAAACATTTTGCGCAAGTTTTTTTAGTTTTCTTTTGGTCCTTGTTCTTGGAAAACAAAGACGCAAGTATAGGTCGGGTTGGTTCGAATTTTTCAATTACCAAACCAAATCAATCGTATAGGATTTTTAGATCTATAAACCAAACTAAACCAAAAAAGTCGGTTTTTTCAATCTCGATATTTCTCGGGTTTTTTGGTTTTTTTCGTTTTTTGGGTTTTCGGGTTTTTCTCTAGTAAATTCTTCATAACACAAAATATGTGACTTGTGCTCCAAATATTTTTTTATTCCTAGTAAGATACAACTATATAATGTATTTTTAAAGAAAATAACATAATAATATGAGATAAGTCATAGCATTATACTAAAATATTCAATAACAATGATAATAAAATGGCATAAAGCAAATATTGCTAATTAATAAGCCATAATGAAATTAACATAATCTAAAAATACTATATATGTCGTGCTAAAATAAGTATAGCCAATAAGTACTGTTAATTACATAACTAACCACTAAACAAAAAGATAAACTAAGTTATGCATTTTCATTATAAACTAATATAAAACTAAAGAATACATATCCAACACTATCATCATTCCTAGTTTTGAATTGAATTTCCTTTCTTAGCATTAGTAATGTTTGAGTTACTACATTTATGGGCTACAAAAGTTATTTACTATTCAGGAATATTAAGTACAAACTTTAAATACTATGTTAAAAGATAAAACTGTAAAAAAGTTTAAGAAATGTTTATAAATTACATTACAATACATATTTATATGTATAAAATATTTTTAAAAATTGTATAAATAATTGGGTTGGTTTGATTTTGGTTTGACTTTTTTAGTTAAAACCAAACCAAACCAATTATGGCCGGGTTTATTTTTCCAATACCAAACCAAATCAAACCAAACCACCATCGGATTTTTTTTCCGATTTGACTTGGATTATCGGTTTGATTGCGGTTTATCAGTTTTCTTCATACACCCCTAGTATATCGTCAACAAGCTATCGCCGTTGCCTATAAAAAACAGCCTAATGCATAAGGCATCCCGCGTTCATGCAGAGTCCGAGGAAGAACTGCATCCCCAAGGTTGTATACAGTCTGTCCCAATACAAGCATTAGTGACTGCTCCATGGCTCGAACTCATGACCTATAAATCACACGGAAACGACTTTACCGTTGCTCCAAGACTCCTTCAAAGAAATAAAAAGGAAAAAAAAAAAAAAACCCAAAAGAAAAAGACAAAAAGGACCACGACAATGTTTTCTCAAGCATTTTCTTTAATTTCAAGAAGTTGTATCATTTCACAAATATTGCGAGGTTCCATTTCAATGAATAAGAAGAAAAAAATATAATGATGTATGTAATGAGGTCACTACTTAAAATTCCCTATCTATTTACAGAATTCGCAGATCTTTCAGAAAGAGACAGTATTACTAGCTAGGCTTAGGGACCTCGAAAGTTGAATTTTGTAAATACCTTTTTGGTGATAAGTCAAAAAATTCCTACCAAATCGCCTATCAATTTAAATCAGGCAAACTCTCAATATTAATTCGAGAACATACATGAAACTAATTTATCACCACAATCTTGGATCGGAGTAGTTGAAATCGTACCAAATTGTTTCTATAAGAGCTTGATTTTCCACCAATAATTTTCACATAAAAACAAAGGTTTCAAAGAAACGGAAAAAAGGATAGAATTTATAACATGCTACAAGTATGTTGATAGCGTTTCTTCTTGACTCTAAACTTATATTAAAGTTTGTTCAATTTAATTAAGACAAGAAAATTGGAAATGAGTCCCCATTTTAACAACTGAGATTTTTCATAAATTTGAATTAGAAAAAAATGTTGATAGTCCCCATTCAAATTTATCACGACTATAATCTTAACAAACACTAGTAGTGCAAATAATCCAACTATCCATCTTTTCATATTTAAATTTTGGATTAGCATCCAGGAAAAATAATTATCCTTGCAAAGAAAATGTTACAGAATATATCTATATTTCAAGTGTGAAAAACAGTTCCGTTTGCCGCAGAGAGTTATTCAGACATAGTTAACCAAAAGCTAGTAGCTGATGAATTGGATAATGCTTAAACACAACTAATTAAGGTCTTCTGAAGTTTTATGTAGAGCCAATACATTGAACATTAAAAAAGCAATTACTTCTATGTTTACGATCTCCGCGTAGAACTTGTAGGTGACATGTTGATCACGTATAGAGTATTAAATTCTATGTGAGTAGTACGTGACAACCCTCTATTTTACGGTAAAAACTTATCCGCACGGAGTGTTTATACCAATTTTAGTTATGTTAATTATAGGAGAAAAATTAAGTTTATTAGGAGTCTTTTTTAAGAAGATAATAGAGCCATAAAAAAAAAGTTTTAGTGCTCCGTTTATGCCTTTGTTATAATTAGTCAATCTTCTTGAAAGATTTAATTTATCCAATGTAAGGTTGTCATATTACTACCTCAATCACCTACAACCAAAAAATATTTATTCACCCTTCTTCGTAAAGTAATTAAATATCCAACACCTGTGACCAGAGGCGGACCTACATGGAGATGAGAGGGATCATCGGAACCCGCTAGCCTCGGCAAAATATATATATATATATATATATATATATATATATATATATATATATATATATATTTGTATATACATCAAGGACCCCTCAAATAATTTTGATGTGCTCCTTTAAATAGAAAAGTTGAGTTGCTTTGTTGCTTTAATAAGTTACATTATGTCATCCCTCACCAAAAGGCTTGGGTTCGAGGCCCAACATCTGCTCTTTTTTTTCATTTTATTTGTTTTTCTCTTTGAATTCAACGTAGTGTAGTATCCGGTATTTAGTGGTCAACTTTTTTTTTTCTTTATCTTTTATAAGTTAATGAACAATAATTTATTATTAGTACCTAGAAGGGGATAAAATATTCCATTAGCAAAAAGCCAATCACTTCTTTATCCTTATATCTAAGTTTATAAACATTATCACTTTCTTGACACTTATAAAATTAGTACAAAAAGCCAATCACCTTTTTATCCTTATATCTAACTTTATAAGCATTATCACTTTCTTGCATGTATAAAATTAAGTAATTCACCAAAAATTTCCCCAAAACAGTAATTAAAAACTCTAAAAAAACCTTCTGCTTTCAAGGATCAGTTCGGCAAAGTAGCAAACATTTATCGATTCAACGATAGTGACTGAGACTCTGCTTGGATTGCTTAATAGACCTTTAATCTTGATCTTATTTGACTAAGTTGTTTTATATTTTTGAACATTCTTTCGGTCACTGACTCATATTCATTAAGTTTTCAAGGAGTTAGTGCGCCAAATTTTATTGTTATTAGCTGACATATCTATGTCAAAGATAGCGGTGCCCCCGCTACGCTCACATCCTGGGTCCGCCTATGCCTGTGACATCTAAAGTAGAAAAGTGGAGTGAGAGGGATCTAATTTCTTGAGATTGGTACCAAGAGTCTTTTTGGTGGAATAGAGCTTTGCTTCTTGAGTCTTTTATTTCAAAATGTATTCCATTTTAATGGTTGGCCAGCACTTAGTTTGAACAGATAATTATTGAAAAATCTTGGTCTCAAGAAATAAATAATTGTATTATAAAAAGGGAAATCTGTAAATGGAAAATTGGCAATAAAGAAATAATTTCTTGACTTTTTATCACTCTATAAAAATTATTGGAATATTTTGGCCACAAGAATTGATAAAAATGATTCACTATTTTTATTCAATCTACTTGCCATTGAGCACACGAGGGAATAGCAAGGTGATCAAGTATAATTTAATTTTATATTATTATTTAAGATCATGTACAAAATAAAAGGCAGCAAACCATAGTTAAGTACTAACAAGTAACAATTATAGTTAAATATAGTGACAAGTGTCATTTATTTATTTGCTTGTAGTAAACGTAAGTACGGGCAAGTTTTTACCCTCTAGGTACTTTACATATTGATAGACTCCTACAATAGTCAAAATACTTGTTGGAAACAAAAACAAAAGCAGAAAAAATCTTGACAGGATGTGCCATGTGTGAATAAGATATCTCTGTATTTGACATCTCCTCTGCAAAGAAAATTATTACAAGTATATAGGGAAGAAGTATAACCGTAGGAATCAACGACTCCTAAATTTGTAGGACAGCAATGTCATTTATTGATAAAGAAGACTAAGTAAAATTGTAAAAGTAAAAATGAACAAGAGGTAAAAAAGAAAGAACAGACTAATAATTTTTTTTTGAAGTTTTTAATCTGCAAGCAAGTCTAAGGAATAGCAAATTTTCTTGAAAGTGGGCAACTTGTCTTCGAATAGAGGGATAAAGACATCAATACTTCCATCTCCAATGAAGGATGGTACAAGAAACATCATGCCTTCTGTTGGAAAATAAGAAGGCATGAAAATGTAAGGACAACCGGTTCCAAAATCTAAGTCATAGAATGGAAACCTTAACCAACTGTCCACTTCAATATTAGGGCAAAGTATGTGCTTGTTCATGTCCGCTGTTGAGATGAGATCTTCTTCTTTTACTTTCGTATTGGCAAAGTCAATGAACGATTTGAAATAGTTGTTGTTTACTTTTGTAACAGCGTCATGAATGAGTTTTGTTGCATATGAAAGAGGCTCTAGCAATAGGTCTTTCACTTTTGCAGTTGGAAATGCCCAAAGGACTAAGTTTCCAAAGTACTCATTGGGTATTCTTGGATTCAACCTCGTTCTACCATTGACTGAGATTCTTATTTGAGTAGTCTCAAACCCACTTAATCCACGAGCTTTAGTTATTGACCTCCATAAATGCGCCACGAGACTTTCAAAGGTGCTATAGGGTTTATTGTTGCTATTCATAGAAGAAGCCTTAGCTTTAAGTTTGGCAAGAAACTCAACTGTGAAATGGACTTTGTGTACAACTATATCTTCTGATATATGATGAACCTCATTGAACGAACGCTCTTTTTTAAACTTGGACATGAATTCCACCCCCTTATGGTTATACTCAATCATAGGAGGATTTCGAGGGTTAAAAATTGTACGATCATGCAAAGGAAGTGGATTGACTCTGAGGCCTCGACAAGCTTGACCCCATGCAACCAAGAAGTTGCTAGTGGAATGGCCATCCGCCAGAGTGTGGTGGGCAGTAAAACCAACCACCAAAGAGCCACAAGTGAACCTTGTTAGTTGAACTTGCACCAATTCTTTCACATCATTCAAGCTAGGGTGTAAGTTGAGCAAAGATGGTGACGGTTTGTAAGGCATTACTTGATCAAGGGTGCTATCGACCGATGCCTCGACGAATCTAACACCTTCATCATTGAGTTGAATCACTGGATTTTCATGTTCGTCTTTGCCTAATCTCCCTGCCCATTCTCGATAAATTGCTAAAGCTTTTTGAAAACCTAATTCAATAGCAGCATTTGGTGGAGTGGGAGGGCGATATGCATATATTATAGCAATATGAGCATCATATGTGACCTTATCAAAGACACTAAGGGAAATGTGACTTGTAGTTGGAGGAGGGGTGTTTTCATAGAAAGGTTTAATGATTCTTGAACTTTCTATTCTTATCTTCATGATTTTCTCCTTTGTTTTTGGCTAAGGGAACATGGAAATTAAGAAGACTGGCGAAGGCATGACTTAGGTATTTATAGAGTCGTGCATACCTATTCTCCCTTCTATTGTTTAAGACGTGTTTGTCTTGTATACACACAAAAAAAGTTGGCATTGAGTAAAATAAGAACAAACGAAAAGAAGATATGGACCATCAAAAATTGTGGTAGATCTGCCCTCTTAATTAAAGATTTTGGGTTCAAGCTTTGAGTGTGGAATTAATACTCTCCTTTAGTGACATTACATATTGCGAATTCTAATTAACAGAAACCTAAAGCGATTAATACAGGATGAGAAACAAAAAATCTAGTGCGTGTTAGTTTAACGGCATGTTCAAGCGTCAAATGTTCAAACTCGACTAATTAATTAGCTCTGTATACATGTGGTTAATTAGTCATCGTAGCTGGTTCCTAAAGATGCTTCACAGCTAGCTTTAGCTCCTTTTTCTTTTTCTATTTTAAATTAATTTTAAGGTTGTAACATAGGGTTTGACTTTCATCACAATAATGTTTTTTTATTGAACTTCAATTATCTCTTGCCAACTTTACAGCTGCATATAATGCAGTGATCATCTGATGTAGTGCATATACGTTAGGCTGTTCCAATAGCATAATCGCTTACGTGATAAGTGACAACACAATATTGTAAATCCAATTCATTCATATGGAGGATAACCTTTATTATGCGAATTTTCTATTAAACCTTCTTAATAAGAGATTCGCTAGTAATAAAATATATGAGTCATTGTTAGACTAGACCGACAACTTTCAGTCTTCGTTATAGCGGAAGTCAAATTGTTATATGACGAAGCCAGAGAATCGTCACATATTCCATCTGTAATCATTTCAGTATTTAATTTGATTATTCTAAGGTTATTCACTTTACGTTTTGAATTCTTTTAATAGCTTAGAAAGAGGATATTCTAAAAAACAGCAGGAAGCATGGAAATAATTAACAACAACAATTACTTGTCTCCGTCCCAACTCCCAAACAAAATTGACGTCAACTATGAATTTCGACTTCTTTCTTTAAACTCAACTCATATCATTATTATTCTATAATAAGATAAATATAATATTAAAAATAAATTACAACAACATACCCAGTATAATCCTACAAGTAGGATTTGAGGAGTGTAGTGTGTACGCAAATCTTACGTTTACCTGACGATGTAGAGAGGCTATCTCCGGTAGACCCTCGACTCAAGAAAAGGTGAAAAGAGAGAAGGGAAGAAGACAAAGAAGAAAGAGGAAGAAGAATGAAAGAATAGGGAGATAAAGGATGATAAAGAAAAGGAGAAAAAGACGACGACGACAACAACAACAACAACAAAAATAACAAGTAAAAGAAAAAGTAGCATTAAATAGTAACAAACTGAAAAATACGATACACGGAGCGAACAAAACAATAAGCAAATACTAGAGGTCAAAGAATACGAAAAAAACAAGAGAGCTACTAATACTACTAGAAAAGAACGGGGAACTCTCGGCTACCTACTAGCCTTCTACCATAATCCTCGACCTCCACACCCTTCTATCCTAGGTGATGTCCTCAGTGAGTTGAAGTAGCGTGTCATACCTAATCACCTTTCCCCAATACTTCTTCGGCCTACCTCTACCCTTCTCAGCCCCGCCATGACCAGCCTCTCACACCTCCTAACAGGAGGATCCGTACTCCTCCTCTGCACGTGCCCGAACTATCTCAGTCTCAACTCCCGCATCTTGTCCTCCATGGGGGCCACTCCCACTTTGTCCCGAATAATATATATATATATATATATATATATATATATATATATATATATATATTATTAATAATAAGAAATATAATACTAGTATTTAAAGCCTATTTCAAACTAGTAAGTATCACCTATATATGAATTTGTTTCTTCCATTTTACCCTATCTTTAGCTAAATCTGCATTTATTCCAAAAATTTCTACGTCTTTCAAGATAACTTCTTTCTATGTGACTTTAGGTATACTTCGTCCCCTTTTAAAACCTGCATTTACTGTAGTTTCACACCTACGAAGTAGTGCATCTGTAAGGCGACACAAGATGACCAAACCATCTCAAGAGACCTTCTATAATTTCATCCTCAATGCGTGCTACTTGCACTTTTTGGCGAATATGGTCATTTTTAATCTTATCTATCTTATATGATCGTACATCCATAATAACATTCATATCTTTGCAATGCTCATTTTGTGGATATGTTGAACTTTAAACATTTTACCTAAATAAGGTTGTAATAACAATACATGCTACTACGATCTTAGCTTATTACGTTTTATATTCCCGATTTTGTTTGTATATTGCTATTACATTAATGACCCTTCAAATCAGGCACTGAAAAGAAAGATCACATTTCATAACAGCTAATTATAAAATTAAATTTGTCTTCTTCGCCAAAAAATAAAATCAAACAAAACAAATACATTATGTCCTTTACAAACTGCCAGAAAACAAAATTTTTTTCTTATGCATGTGATGCATAAAATTGTCATAAGTTCGCCAATAAAACAAATGTTTAACTTACTGTGATTTGACCTACCAACTGCCGGCTCGGGTGGGTAAAGGAAAACAACTTTACCACGTTAAGCCCTGATGTCGTATTTTGGATACTGTCTGTTTGAAATCTGGCTTTGATAATTCTTTTGTTAAATTAAATTCCAATATAAACTTGAAAAACAAGATCTTATCGACAATAAATCTCTGTTTCAGAATTATAAATCATTTTTCACTCTTTGATAGTTGTAGACAATAAATTTGCGTCAAGAAAATAATCGAGACCGAAAAATATTGCAACAATCGTAGTATTTGATTTCAAATATTTGAGTGTTTAATCTCTATGAATCCTCTGATTCTTCTTTCCAATAGTAAATAAATTCAAGGTACTTTGAGCTTGATCTTGAATCTATATTTGTTTCCACGAACGATGATCTTGAATTCAACTAGCACGAACTTTGATTTGAACTCGTACTCCCTGAATCTTGACTTGAACTTGATTTCTTGAGCTTGAAGTTGATTTCTTGAGCTTGAAGTTCTTCGTTCTTGAGTTTGAACTTGATTTCTTGAANTCTTCGTTCTTGAGCTTGAACTTGATTTCTTGAACTTGAACTTGATTTCTTGAAGCTTGAAACTTGGAGAGAAATTTGCGGCGTTTGATCCACGAGTTCTCTCTTGCTTCTTGTTATAACTTCTGGTCCCTTTTCTGGGTTACGAAGACCCCTATTTATAGTTGTGGAAGGGAGGAGTTGTGATAAGAACAAACTGTTTCCGACCAATCAAATTAAAGTGTGACATGGCCGCATTTGATTGGCCAAAACATGTCACTTGCACACGTGGCACGATTCCATTAACCTTTTAATGTGACTTGGCATGCCTTGTCATTTTGACACATGGCATGGTCCTATTGGCTTTTCCATTTGACGTGGCGTGCCACGTCATTTGACACGTGGCATTGGGCCTCTAGGAAGATGCCATCTTGGGTCTAATGAAGTGGGTTCATCGCTTGTAGTCCAATTAAATTGGACTTATATACTTAATCCAATTATATTAGCCCAAAATATTTATTTGGATTAATAGATTTAAAAATGGTCCAATTTATTTTACTGAATATAGATCCAATAAATTCTATATGCATACACATACCCCCTGCTTCACAAGACTTGTTGAGATATAGGCTTATCCGAAAACGGGTCACGAAGTATTGCTAACTTGTCAAATTTGTCGCATGCCATAGTAGAATGCAGAGTACTACCCATGTAATTTGTTACATATATACCCAATCAATTACCTAAACAATGTAATAATCATTTACCTTTGAATAAGGACAAAGACAAAACTATGCAAACTTTTATTTTAAAATAAGTTGTAGCGCCAGTGCATCTCCATACCTCATTAGGAAACTAAAATCAAGACTTATTGTAATGATTGGATCACATTCCTTTTTTTATTGCAATGATTAGAAAACTTCACACAATTTGAATGCAATTCAATTGTAAACTTCACATTCAAAACCATCAGACGCTATTTGAATACAAAACTTCACACAATTTGAAATACAAGGCGTAGCCGCCAGTCATTTCAATTCCAAATAGCAATTTGAGTTGTTTTTGGATTCCTGCGATAGCTGCCGAGATGAGACCAATCCTATTAGGAAGTAACGATACAGTAGTCGAATTCTATCTGGAGTGCAAAATACGCAATCCCACACCGTCAATTCACCTCCAAGAACTGCCTTATGACTTCTATAAATACAATACTCTTTATTCTGTTAGTTTCACTTTTTTGACGACTTGAAATTATTAATGCGAAAGTAATTTTTTCTTATTTTCTTGTGCTTTCTTTATTCTATTGTCCTTTTTTGTAGGTGAAACAAGAAGGATTTGTTCTTGTTTAACAAGAAGGATTTGTTCTTGTTTAACAAGATGATCCATGCATGAAGAAAACCATCATAGGGTGTGAGGGGTGAGTATTCATCCTTGCCCGAATATCGGAGAGATTACTCTCAATGTGGCTTGACTATCGGAGAGATTACTCTCAATGTGCCCCGACTATCGGAGAGATTACTCTCAATGTGGCTTGACTATCGGAGAGATTACTCTCAATGTGCCCCGACTATCGGAGAGATTACTCTCAATGTGGCTTGACTATCGGAGAGATTACTCTCAATGTGACCCAACTATCGGAGAGATTACTCTCAACGTGGCCCGACTATCGGAGGCCATTTCACCCATTTAGACCTTTGTGCCCATTCTAATATTCTTTTTTTTTTACTTGAATATAAGGAGATTTCATTAAACTTTTTGATAACATTGAATTACAAATACTCTAACTGTTATATTATCTCCATTTTTATAGCTAGACATCCACGTCCAAGTCAACCTTCTGCCATTCATTTAACTTTTCTAATGACAGAAAATATGAATACGAAACATAAAGGTAACAGTAACTTTAACAATTGCAAAAACAATTGTTGGAATGAAACTAAACCAAATTTTTTTTACTACTAGTAATAATGGAATTAGAAAAACAGTTTACTATGCCTT